AATTTCTCGTCTTTCAGTTCTCGCGAACGTGTCGAGAAACTTCTGCCGGAACTCGTCCCAAGACGACCACACGCGATTCGTGAACCACGTTCGGGCTCCGTCTTGAAGCGGAAAATAAACGTAGCCCAATTTCTGTGTGGTGTTCCAACCGTTAACATTCGCTGTGTGCTCGAATTCCTCGAGCCAGTCATGTGCATCCTCATATGCGTTTCCGTGGAAGTCAACCGGGAGTCGAGGGTTGAAAACAGTCACTTGTGTCGTGCTTGGGCTGGACATGTTGGGGCCAGTGCTTCCAGGCGCCGTCATGCTTTCTGGCACAGTCACGCTTTCCGGCAATGGACCAAACTCCGGGCTGAGGCCTAACAGGCGCCGGCTGTTGCGGTGAACGGGGGTGTCGATGCGCGGAAGTCTTTCTTGACCAGATGCGGGGCTGTTGTCAGGCATCCCGAACATGTACCCAGCGCCTCTACCAGTGTCACAATGCAGAAACAGCAGCAGTCGAATCCAGGGAACTCACTTTAATTGTATTAGAATACTGGTAAACTGATCAGAAGAGAACCTCGTCTTCTTCACTCGTTGCGCGTGTTCTTCGTTGTTCTCTTCGTGCTGCATATTCAATGTGGCAATATGTCCGGTTCCCTCATGCCTCGGTATCGATTGGCAATTTTAGATATCATTCGTGAGATACTTGTACAGGTATGACGTAACTTTTCGATCGTTACCTTTTTGTTGCCCTGATTATTATTGTGCGCCCCGAGAACATGTATAGTTTCCCCTTCTTTGACTGGGGATTGATCAAGTTGGATATTAAAAGGAATGTAATTGCCACGTTGCCCGAATACTAGCAATTCTGATTTAGTGGGGGAGCAGTGAAGTCCTCATGTTCGACCGGTGAATTCCGCAGTATTCGCGGCCCGTTGAAGCGCTTTTTCCATCTGTCCCATGCTGCCGATGTTCGTCTAAATGGTAACGTCGTCAGCGTATGTTGCGTGCTTGATTCCGGGTATCTCGCTGAGTGTTCTAGGAGATCTAGCAATGTCAGTGGCGAGATTGCGGCCCCTTGCGGAGGTCCGGAGTCTCCCATTGTGATGGGGGCTGATTTAGCATCACCTACACGTATGGTCTGTTGACGGTTGTGCAGGAAGTTGCGCACGCAATTGCATGCGCGTAGACCGCTTCCTATTTTAGCCAGGTTAGCCAGGATAGCCGAGTACCGGACATTATCAAAGGCTTTTTCAATGTATATCACCAGAATGACATGCTCCTGTTGCATGGCTCTACTGGGGCGATTGATTATGTCATGCTTTAAGTCAAACAGAACATCCTGTGCCGATGAATATGCTCTAATTTAAAACGAAACATGGTGTTTGGGTATTCAATGAGACGTATTCAATGAGACGAATTTACAGTGCCCTCTCCATTACCCTGCCAGCGCAGGAGGTTAAGGAAATGGGACGAAGGTTGTCGGCTTTCCGTGTTTGGGAATAAAGGTTATTTCAGCCGATTTCCATTCCTGGGGAAGTATGCCATTGACCCTATACTTATTATTCAGATCAGTAAATATATTGAGCATCGTCTGGTCAGCTGACTTCTTGCATACCAGAGGTGCAGCAGGTGCTGATCTACTGCTGGTGTTTCCCGGTTGGTTTTGATTTCATTGGTCACCTTCTTCTTTTGCTGAATTCGCTCTAGTGTTCGTGACCATTTGTCTTAGGAATCGGGCGGCTGGTGAAATGGAATGTTTTCCGTTTTGTGGAAAGCGTGTCAATCTGCCTGTTGAACTGATTCATCGTAAGCCTTATGATGACCAGATAGTATAGTGGTATAAATAAGATAAAGGTCGCTTCCGAGCACTTCCTGGGAGTTCAGCAATTTGGTTGCGGAGCATTGAGAGCCATCATAAGGTCTGGGAATGTGTCTCGTGATACCCTGTGGCCGATCCGCGTGGGATAGTCCGAATCTGTGAGTAGCGTGAGTCCTTGAATGGTCATTAGGTTGTGTAACTTGCGTCCTTTCGCATCTTCTACGACATAACCCCATTCTGAATCTTTGGCGTTTAAGTCACCCCGCAGTAGCAGGGGAGCGCGTACTGCTAGGCTTTCGCCTTGCGAATGACCTCAGCAAACGTATGGTGTCGGTCTGCTGGGTGACTGTATATAATTATAACGTATATTGGATTATGGTACTTGTGCGGAAGAAATCGGATGAATACATATTGCAAGCTAGCGTCCCTGAGGGCAAGTTCGTGCTGTAGAGCAGCATAATGGTTGTTGACCAACGTAGCTGCTGATATGCCGTCGGCACTAGTGTAAGCCGTATACGTAGAAAGTTTGACTGCGTGTTGACCGACATCTTGTAAAGCAATTACTTTTGGTACTGATGGTAAGGTTATAATATAGTGATGCATCGATGCTGCTTCACAGTGCAAACTGCGATCATTCCACTGTATTACTGTAAACTGCGCACCTATGCTAGCCATCACGGGGCAAGGTGCAGCTGTCGTAGCTATCTAGATTTATGTGTAGGGCTGTAGCTGGCATGTCACATCACCCAGATAGATGCTTGACCCCCTTGAGATTCTTTCCTTCATTGAGTTGTGTAACTTGTCGATTGTATTTGGCAATCATTGATTCCATCTGAGTGATGTAAGGCATTGTAAGTTCACAAAATTTCTGCGCATTTCTGGCCTCGAGTGCGCTGACGTGGCTGAAAATTGATCGCTCTGTAGTCTGAATTAAAGTTGCTGTAAACGTACTGAATTTCTCTTCCAGGGCCTTGTCTACCATGTCGGCTATTGAGGCCTGCGAGGTCAAGCTGCTGAACTGGGTAGAACCAATGTATGTTTCTGTCATCCTAGAAGGTGCCATGGGCCTCTCGCAGTCTGTGCAAGTTGCAGAGGATGTCTGGGGACACTGATTTTTCGCCTGTCGAAGACAGTCTATTTCCTGCGTCTGTTGCACAACTAGCTGCTGCAGTTGGGCTAGCGTTCGGTTCTTTTTCTGTTTAGTGTTTATAAGCTGTTCGACTAACGCGGATTCTGTAGTTTGAGAGCTATTTTGTGTACCCTGGGTGGCGACCTTTGATGCCCAGCTCACCTGAGGACCTGTTGACTTTAGGGCAGGGGACGGCACTATACAAGTCTTATCGTGCTCGGTTTGCTTCTGGGCTGACTGGGGTCCCCTGGCCGAGAACGTTATTTGGATCAGGACGCCACCCGCTTCTTTTATCGAGGCCGGGATGATCTGGCACTGGTGTCATTGCCAGCCACGTTGTTGCTTCTTTGCAGTTTTTTGTGGTCACCAGACGGTGTTCGGCTGTGGTCGCTGGCTTGGCCAGCCTGCTGAACCAAAGGCTTGGCGGAGGCTGGTTGGCGATATCTACGCGGGCAGTCGCGAGAGCCGGTAGCGTGTGACCCGCCACAGAGAACACTGCTTGGATGGCACTCGTGTGGTTGCCGCGCCTCCAGTCCAGTTTTGCCGCCAAGCGAACACCCTTCGGTTTCCGTCACGGGCGCTGGGCACGCGTCCGTTCGGTGTCCAGACTTTCCCCACATAGCACAAACTGCGTTGGCTTTTCTGTACTGCTGCACTAAGGTGGCTTCGTTGAGAAAGAAGACGAGCCTTGGGATGTTGCTGTGTTCAAATGTGAGCGTCACTACATTGGTGGAGCCAAGCCTCTGGGCTCCAATGATTGGGTTGTTAGGCGAAGGGGTGTTCGCCAGAATGTAATCTGTGATGAATATGTTCACCAGCCGAATTACGCCCTTGCCTATGTTGTCAGTTGCCTTGAGGTAAGCTTGCAAGTTGATGGTTTTGTCGGTCAACCGCAGATGCTCCAAGCTGAGGAGAATGCGCACTCATCTTTGGTGCCGACGATGACGACGACGAGATTCTGTTTTCACAATGGGTGTATTGGTGTGTGAGGAACACCTCTGCAGCGACGCTACGTCGAGAGGTGGCTGCTCGTATGGCATTGTCAATGCTGCCTGAGCATCTATATTGCTTTAGGTTGCACGTCTGCCTGGCTTTGATGATGGTCACGTACTCAGTGGGAGCCATGCGAGGCGAGTAGCGTGGTGCACTTAGGTTCTTGCTGAGTTTACCCCCAAAAAGGGTGGAAATAGCTCCTTTAGCACAACTTGTGGTTGGTGGCGTCTCCGCGTCTGTCGGAGGTGTGCGAGCGCCCGGGCGGTTGCGACGCATTTCTCGAAGTACCTGAAGTACCCCCCCCCCCCCCGTAATGAAGGAAACAATAAGTCGATGGTGTAGCGGCCAGCTGGATTTCTTGACGTTGCATGCTTTCCGGGTCGTAGCCACGAATGACGGGCTGCAGATGTTGCATCGACATGGCTTGAGTGGCAGTTGCGCGTTCGTACCTGCTGCTAGACCCGAGGCCTGCAGCGTCTCACACACTCGCCAAGGTTTTTCGCTGATAAAAGTTTCGCTGATAAACCTGGATGTTTTGGTGTCCACATACGCTTGGTCACTCGCGGAATCGAGGGATATTCAGTATGGCGTCGTAATTCGAAATTGGCACACACAGAATTTCTCAAAACACGGAGCTTGCGAAGCATGCGTCTACTCCGATTCACGCCGCACCTGCGTCTCTTCTCCCTTGAGGACACGAAAACACTAGTTAACATATTTGGTGGTCGTATTTACACAAAGCCTTCTCACTTTGCAATATAAATATATGCTGCGACTAGTTCATCATGTTAATCAAGTTAATAGGAACACCGCTTCATTTTACTTCGAAGTCCTCTACTGCTGAAAGACTACGGAGAGCAGTTGTTACCATCAATTTTGCAGGCATCTAAAGTAGTGAGACAGCTAAGGAACCCTGCAGATTTCGGGAAAAGGGAAGCAGTTTTCCTACAAAAGTATAAAGTATTGCAAATTTCGTAGACATGGTTTTAGTTGGAGTTGTACTGTGTTCCTTAGTGCGAGATGACACAAAAAAAAACGATTAGTACGGCAATAAAAACCGCATTAAGTGCTTACCTGCCTCAAAAGCGGGTATGTGCAGTCGAGCAGCTCGAGAACGAGTCCCTCGAGCATGCCCATGGTGCCCTGGCCGTCGAGGAGGTGCAGAATAATGGGCTGGTCATAGCCAAACACGTAGCCCTGGGCCACGGCTGTCGCGATGGTGTGCGCCATCGGCCTGGTGGCGTTGGTAACCAGTACTCGAAGGTGATCTTTCTTGCGCTCCGCCTTGTCCTCTGCGACTACGACGGCAGACTTGGTATGTGGCTGCTGTGGCTGATGGGACTCGTGGGCGTTGTGCGCCATGACTTCTTAAGCCTCGCACAGCTTCCTTTAAACTGCACTGCTAGTGGAGCTGATCGCGGCTTGTTTCTTGCCTGCCGACCCCGGAGTCCACCTGGTGATGGCGATACTCATGAGGCTGTGCCCTTTAGAACGTTTCGGCAGAGAGAGTTTTGATGGCTTCGACAGTGGCGTAGCTAGGGGGTTAATTAATGCCAAACTTCAATAACCTTAAATAACACGAGACTGGTCCAGTTCATCGATAGATCACGCAGATTGCTAGCATAAGGTGTCGAATAACAAAGCGAAAAGTATGAACGCACAGTGTGTGATATCATCATCACGCTGGCAATGTATGGCTATTGTCAATAATGAGAGTAGTGATCATGGTAATTAAAGGAATTCAACAAATAATGGCACCAACATAGGTATATATATATACGTTTACATATTCTGCACCCCTTGTGTAGAAACGTCATGTAGAAATTCTCGAGAAAAAAAAAAGAAAGTCAAAAGGAGCTCAATGTTTATTTTTGATCTCAGGTGTTCATTTGCCTGATTTGTTCTCGCTCCCGTCTACCAAGCTTTGATGTGTGATCAAGGGGGCTTCTTTGGAGATTGCTGGAAGTGAATCACGCACTCTCGCACGCATTGGTCTGTCGTCACTGCCTGCTCTCATATTTTATCCAGTCATGTCATAGGAACGAAAAGTACCCTGTTTCAAACAGTGCACGTTTTAGATTTAAACTCTGGTTCTTTCTTTTTCCATGAGGTAACTTAAGGAAAAATTGACCGAGCACGCATGTTTGAACTACACCTGCTGTACTCATTCGTTCGTGTTGAGATGTGCGCATCTGCGTAGGGTTGTTAACAGAGCTGCTGTTCTGGGAATGAATTTTTACCTGTCATTTCACTGGCTGGCACTACAAGTCTGCATAACATCCCCGCACTTGAGACCTTTAGTGACGCGCATTCGAGAGGCGTAGTGGGCACTGAAATATTTTGTATTTTTGTTTTCTGACTGGCAGTATCACGAGGTTTGAAATATTGAAAAAAAAACATTTATGCTAAAATATTCGAATTACAATTTTGATATTTATATAACATGACCGGTTCTTGAAGGCATTTAGAGTAGTATGAATCACGTTGCTCTTCTTCAGATTGTTCTTGAAAAGCTTTTTGAACGTTAAAAATTTTCAAAATTTCCTAATTTAACCTTGATTCTCCATTTCAATATCCTCAATTTAGGTGAAAGCCGAAATTTCGAGAGTATCAAAAAACAATTATAAAGTGTCTACTATGTGAATAAAATGTCATTGCTTTAGGAATACAGAAATCCGGAACTTAGTTTGTATTAAACGAGCATGAAAGCAACAAATTTCCTCATTCGCGAATTCGTTCAAAATGTGGCTTCAGCTCACGAACTCCGTGTTTTAATTAAGCCTAAACCAGCTCACAAACCATCCCCTATTTTGTACCGCCACGATCACCCTCAAGACATGCACGTAAGAATAGCTTATAAATGCGAACCGTTCCTTAGCGAACTTCGGCGACTTTCACCGTATCTGTCTCTTTCTATCTGGCCGCCTATGACTTTTAGTTGTCCTGACCATTGCGATGATGGGATCTATACTGACACTGGTGTGGCATAATATGGCTCTATGACGAGCATATGTGCTTAGCCATAACATGAAAATCATGATATGCATGTTATGAATGTCATGATTTGCATGTCATGGTCTTGCTGCTCTTGTGATGGCTTCGTTCACATGACATATTGCAAAACTGGTATGGTATGACATGACCGCATGGCGAACCCAAGTGAGAGGCCCAACGTGGAAATCATGATATGCATGTCATGTAAGTCATGACCGCGTGGCATATGCTCATGGTGCACTTGCTGTCGTTTCGCTAGGTTCACATATACGAAATTTCGTATTACGGGACGTGAACGGATGACAAACATATATGACTGGTGCAAACACAATAATCATGACATGCGTGTCATGTAAGAACATGACTACATGCCACGCCCATGATGCGCTTGCAGCTGTTTCGCTAGCTTCACATATACCAAATTCACATATACATATACATATACATATACGCAATCGCTAGCTTCACATATACGTGACACGAACGAACGACGATGGTAAAAGACACGTGCAAATATAATATTCATGACATGCACGTCATGTGAAACACCACTGCATGCTACGCTCATTGTGTGCTCGCGGCCGTTTCACTAGCCTCACATATACCAAATTTGTTGTTATGTGATGTGAATGGATGACGAAAGTGTATGACTGGTGCAAACATGATAATCATGGCACGCGTGTCATTTAAGTACATTACAACATACTACGCTCATGATAGGCTTGCGGGCATTTTGCTAGCATCACATATATCACATTTGATATTACGTGACGTGAATGGACGATGAAGGCAAATAATAACAATAATAATAAAAATATTTGGGGTTTCACGTCCCAAAACCACCATATGAATATGAGAGACGCCATATTGAAGGGCTACCTAAATTTCTACTGCCCTGCCGCGGTGGTCTAGTGGCTAAGGTACTCGGCTGCTGACCCGTAGGTCGCGGGATGCAATCCCAGCTGCGGCGGCTGCATTTCCGATAGAGGCGGAAATGTTGTAGGCCTGTGTGCTCAGATTTGGGTGCACGTTAAAGAACACGAGGTGGTCGAAATTTCCGGAGCCCTCCACTATGGCGTCCCTCATAATATTATGGCGGTTTTGGGACGTTAAACACCACATATCAATCAATCAATTTTCAACCACCTGGGGTAATTAACGTGCTCCGAAATCTCAGGAGCACACGGGACTACAGCATTTTCGCCTAGGTTCGAAAATACAGGCGCCGGAGTCGGTATTCGATCCCACAACCTGCAAGTCAGCAGGCGAGTGCTTTAGCCATTAGACCACCACGGCGGCCGACAAAGGTAAACGACACGTGCAAACATAATAATCATGACATGCGTGTCATGTAAAACATGACTATATGCTCTATGTATACGCTCATAGAGCGCTCACGGCCGTTCCGCTAGCTTCGCATATACCAAGTTTGCCGTTATGTGACTGGAATAGATGACGAAGGTATATGACTGGTGCAAACATGATGTGCATGACATGCGTGCCATGTGAGAACATGACTACGTGCCACGCTCATGGTGCGCTCGAGGCCGTTTCGCTAGCTTCACATACACCAAATTCGGTATTACATGACGCGAACAGATGACGAATGAACTTACACGTCGAAATATGATAATCATGACATGCATGTCATGTAAATTATGACTACATGCTACGCACATAGTGTAGTCACGGCCCTATTTCGCTAGCTTCACATATACCAAATTTAGTGTTATGTGACGTGAATGAATGGCGAAGGTATATGACTGGTGCAAACATAATAATCAAGACATGCGTGTCATGTAAAACATGTCATCACATGCTACGTTCATAGCGTGCTCACGGCTGGTTCGCTAGCTTAGAATATATCAAATTTGCTATTAGTGACGTGAATGGACGATGAACGCAGACGCTTGGCGCAAACACGATAATCGTAACTGGAAGTCATGTACGGCATAATTTACATACCTACCACTGCTGGTGCTGGTATCGCAAACGTTAGTGGCGCCGTTGTTACGCAACTATAGACAACATACTTGCATCTTCTCTAGATACCTTTGTGCGCATGACATTTCTTCTTGTATTCACTCTGTACTATATCCGTGTGCTTCGTAACGTTGTGCTGATTTTAAAATGACATATCAACCTTCCTCACTCGTGCTTCGCATACAATCGATTTCCAGTGTACGTAGTATTTGACAACTTTTTTCATCAGAAAAAACACCGGCTACTCATAGTTCATCCATTACTATGTGGTAAACGTGCTTTATGCCAGCGTGCGGTCGGCAGCAGAAACTCTTCACCTTTGACGGCTCCCGCTGTGTTTTGTGATAATTATTTCACACACTGCAAATACGGGCAACTGCGAACGAAAATCCATATTTACTTTTTCGCATTGTATCCAGAATATATGGCTCCATTCGGCTAAGTGCAAGTGGCTTCAGCACTCTACTACCCAAAATCATCGACGACCATGCTATCAGCGGAAGAAAATTGCGCTATTGGTGAACGTGACGAATACTAAAGTAACTATATATATGTGTGTGCATATAATGCACCCCCCCCCCGCCCTGAAAAAAATCAAAGCGCCAAGCGACTGAAAAAAAAAATAACTACAGCTGACTCGGTGAACAATGAAACCACGATTAGCTTACTATATGTGGCACTGGCAACTCTGACAAAACAATTGAGTGCGGCATCTACTGCGGACGAGACGGTGTTCGTTAAAGGTACGATAGAGTCCATGCAGTTAAGGCATGCACGTGGCCTACGCCCGAAGCTTAAGTGGAGCTGCTGAGCACCTGCATTAAACCTCGCTCACTGATGCACAGTCATTGTTGATGAACACGCCTTTCTGACAGTCCGCAGTCGTTTCGGTTGTTTGCTAACGCTGTTCTCATTGTTTGCATGACACATTTGCAGTGATCATTGCTTGCTCGCTCGAAGGATCGACCTAATCAGCAGTGATGCGCCAAACATGACCGAATTGAGCAAGGTTTGACATCAATAATCAATACATATACATGCCGGCACCAGAAAATACGCCCAAATATTTCAATTTTGAAAGAAATCACGGTCCAATAACGTGCTTTTACTGTGATTCAATATATTCAAAAAAGCCTAAAACTACCACCGGATAAGTGGCTATTTATGCTCTTGCAAAATTTACCGAGTAGTTCAAATGAAAGACGTGCTATTTAAGCAAACTTCGTTCAGATTGCCAGAAATAATGGCCAACCAAAACTGGTGCGCCCGTGTATTTTGCCCAGCCTTTCATTAGAGAAAGTTTAGTTTATTTGAAGTACACCACTTAAACAAACTTTATTGACCATATTTTTCGCGATTGGTGTGATCAGGTCAGCCTATGAACA